GAACGTTGATGACACTGAAATTACCAACACACATACACACACACACACACACACATATATATATATATATATATATATATATATATATATATATATATATATATATATATATATATATATATATAAAGTTATAATAAGAGTCACAAAAGGTTACGAACCACCATAAGACCCTACACATATTGTCTAACTAATTAAAGCAACTTTAAAACCCTACAATCTTTACAAGTCTGTACCATTATGTTCACTCTCTCAAACCATAATCTCCTCTTTATTTCTCCCTCCCCCTTCCCCGCTCTCTCTATCTTTCTCTCTCTCTCTCTCTCTCTCTGTATATATATATATATATATATATATATATATATATATATATATATATTTATATATATATATATATATATATATATATATATATATATATATATATATATATCGCTCTCTATGTCACTACCATGTTGTTCCAACCACTGATTATCCTCACCAACATCATACCCTACAACGCTCATCATTGTCTCACCCTTGCTAATTGGCCTATTTATACACCAAATTCTACTACAACCATCCATATAAACATCCGTGCCCACGACCTTTAATACAAGCATACCACTAATGCATAGACGATGGTCGCTGCCCCCCCACAAACCTTGGTTAACACCACGAATACCACTCATCGTCACCACCATTTATCATCAGCACTATCGTTACCCTTTCGAAATATATTGATGGAAGATAGGAAGGAAGAATGATGACGTATTGGAACAACCAATGAGAGATAAGACATGGATTTTGAAAAGCACGATAATGAATTTGGGTCGCTGGTTTTTTGCGCAGTTGGAAGAATGTCAATAGATATGGGTCCATCAGGAAACCTATATATCAAGGTAACATTGGTAAGCCGACAATTTGTAAAAATTTTGCTTTTTAGATTCCCCTAATTTCCATTTTGTGATGTCTTCCACAACATGTTTCATGAAGCCCATATTGCCAGTAGATGATCTTATTAAAGTTATCCAACACTAGCACCAATATCTTCTAAATGTTAACTTTCTCTTGCAAAATAATATTATAATCATATATGCTGTTTGGTTCAGTGTTTTCTAAATGAAATCTCAACACAAAGATATCGGCAAAATTTTACAGGTGAGAGGCGTTATTGAAGCCTTAAAATATTAGTTAACTTTTGACAACACTTCTTGGCTTGATAGTAATTAAAATCTGACAAATGAAGGAAGGCCATTTTAGCATCATATGATGATGATAATTATGTTTTTCTAAGCATTTCTTTGAAAACTCCTATACCAACGACCCTTTATTTAGTATAAAGTGGGATTTGTGATTTAAGGTAATAATGTAGTTTGTTTATTTATTTTTATTCACTAAGAAAAAAATAGGATTTACATATTTATCTTATTCTGAATTATAGGTGTATCAAGTATGTGAAAGTGTAATTTTTTAGCAGTGGATCATGGTCAGAAGAGGTTAGATGATGCAATATTCATTTAAAGATTGATATGGGGATCAGAAAAACAACATTCATCGGATGTGTATAAGTAACTTTTTTTCATACTTTAAGTCTTTATCTTATGCTTTCTGATATGTTTGATTTAAATTTTTGTGGATTTTACTAAAATAAAAGACAATTTATTTCTTTTTATAAACATAGTTTATTTCAAATTTAAGAGAAATGTAGATGTGGGGGCTGAAACTGGTGAATATTGTACACTTAGTCAAAATGATGGTTAAGTTTTTTACTAAATACATATTAAACTATAAATTTTCATTTAAATGCATTTAGACTGCCTTATTACATTAAATAAATTTAAAAATATCCAACAATAAAGAAAAAAATAAGTATTACTTCATATTTTGTAAAATAATTAGTTTGATATTAATAATTATATTGTATTGGTTTCATAAACTATATTTTCTTATCCTTGTAGATAAAAAGGCTCGTCCCGGTTATAAGGATGATATTCCAACCTAAAACTACCCTATATATATATATATATATATATATATATATATATATATATATATATATATAAAATTTATCCTAACATAGCCAAAATAACCTATGTCTTCTCTTTTTAAGTTAGGTTTGTTATTTGATTGGTGAGTATCCTAATTTGGTATTAACCTACTTAATGATGTGCCTCTAACTTTAATTTATGATATGTCACATATTGTTATGAATAAGACTCAATCAAACCCATCCTTTACATCTAATTGTTGTTTGTAAACCTATTTGGGTGGCTTACAAATGCATAGACTATGTTGAAATCACAGTCCAATCAATGTTGGGCATTATATATGATTTGGTCATATTTTTAAATATTATTCACTACAACAAACTAAATATAATGGAACACCTCTAAAGTGTTGCATTATGCCTAATAAATCACTTTGGCATGTGTTGCTTCAGGTAATGTCACTTTAGGTCTAATGCATCACTTTTGTTAGAATATGCAAACACATTTCTGAAGTGTTGCATATATTTTACAAGTGCAACACTTTTAAAAGAGAACACCATTTAAACCAAGTGCAACATTATTTTATCATAAACATATGACATCAATTAATGTAACACTTCCTTATATGAAAGAAACACTTGTCATTGCTTATTATGACATGTTGTCAATACTAATAATTTGACATAAAAAAATGTTGTAACAAAAAAATGTTAATTACAAGTATATAAGGAAAAGTATCCATGTTTAGAGCAATGGAAATCAAACTTACAAGAATAATAATTTTGATTTAAAGATTTCATTATATAGTTGGGAAAATGTAATGGAAAAAGATTCGGGTCCATTTAACTTATAACAAAATGGTTACACTCTTTCAAACATCATAATTTGCATAAAAATGACTTAGAACGTTATTTTAGTCCATGTCTGCAAAAATAGGTATGTTTGAAATAAAGGTAGACATTCATCTATAACAAATGGTGTGTGTATATAATAAGGGTACACATACGTCTGAAATAGGGGGTATATCTAGAATAAGAGTAGGCATAGGTATGCAATAAGGGTTATAGCAATATCGTTAGGCACACATATAAAATAATGGATATATATATATATATATATATATATATATATATATATATATATATATATATATATATATAAGAGTATGCATGCAATAAGGGTGTGATTTGTTTGCAATGAGGGTAGGCATGTGTCTGCAATAAGTGTATGCATAGAATACAAGTAAAAACATGTGTGTAATAAGGATATATCCTTAATAAAGGCATGTCTGTAATATGGATTACTTATATCTATAATGATTCCTTGTGAACAATTAATGAAAATGAGTAAAATATCTTGGAAATGACCATGAAATTAGGGAAATAATATATCAAATAATTCCATTATTGAGCTCAATATGTACCTAAGACAACAAGGAAAACATAGAAAAAAAAAAGAATCAACTCTTTTGTAGCTTATATGCAAAAGTTATAAAAGTATAAAGATATCTACAGATACATTTTGTATGTTGTCAAAAGTTGACCAACTTTAACTTTGTGTTGGCCTACAAATTTAAATGAGAGAACTCATACTGTCGTATAATTTAAGAATCTAAACTTATAGAGACTTTAAGTGGGAGTAAATAAAGATGAGGTAGTGTATGAAAATACAATCAAAATAGGAGTCAATGGAAAATAAAAAGGGATTTCATCATCAAACTTGAAATCTAAAGGTATTAACTTCCTACTGTCCTTTCTATGGTAAATGCTTTAAACTTATAGTCTTATATCATTAACCCTATCATTTGTAATGATCTTTCATATATGAAATAAGTTGAGATAATAGAAGTTTGAGCATTATTATCAAGGAATATTTTTAAGATGATGTGAATAGAACTTAAATCTTTAATTATTGAGTGAAAATGGGTCAAAAGTCTAACTACAAGTTTAAAATGATTAAGTAGCAAATTGTTTCACAGTCAACATGCAAAAATAAATATGCTGAATGTATTGTGATAAAGTTTGGTTACATAAACCCAAATGTTGGATCAAACCCATTTTTGTTTATTATATTGTTGACTAATGAAAGTCAAAGTTATATGTATAAATCGAATCAAGAGAATATTTACAAAAATCTTACCAACAAGTTAAATTAAATTTATAGACCAAATAAATTCGAGTATATACTATCATGAAAAACGGAATTATGTGGTAGTAAAGAGGAATGAGAAGGAAGGAAAACAATTAAGTAGCTTAATTTTATGTATTAGTAATGACATAAATTTTAGGCTTTTAATCAACTATATTAGGATAAAATAGGCATGTTTGGAAGGTAGAGTAAATTAGGGAGAATAAGAGAAGTTAGTTTATCTAACTTCTCAAGATGAGTACTTGGTGATCTTTTTCCCAACATGGTACATTTTTATTAAAAAAAGCTACAAAAGTTTATAACTATAATTTTGGTAAAAGCTAGTAAAGCTTATCTATTTGTTTTAGTAAAATCTAAAAAACTTACATATTTGTTTCGTAAAATCTAGAAAAAACTTATGTATTTATTTTGGTAAAATACACGATGGCTTGTTTTGTTATATTGGTAAAAGGAATAGAGGGTTGTTTTATTATTTTGGTAAATCTAAGAAATCTTATAACTTATATATGTTAATGGCAAAAGATATAAATGCATGTGACTTAATGTTATAATTTCACACATATACCATCCGTAAATTCTATTGTTTTATGTATAGCACATACCTATAGAGTTGGGTTTATAAATTGCATATGACATATGTGTAGGTAAATGAATGTTGTTGGTAAATATTATGCTTGAGGTTGTGACTTATTATGTGTGAATTGTATGACCACAAATCATATTATGTTATTTTCTAGTTGATTGATGGAACAAGTTTCAAAATGGGAGAGAATCCGGAAAAAAGTTTCGAACGAGAAGGAACCTGGGAACAAGATCTAAATCAAAGCGATCACGGCTAAAGGTGCTACATCTACAACACTTAGAGTGGAGTATTCGTGGAACCCTATGAGATGCGATCATTGCAAAATTTTTGGTCATGACCACGACACATGCCCCACTCACACGATTAGTACCCCCGACCCAAAGTCGGATATGCCCACTCCAAAACACGTTGATAATGAAGGATACCAAATGGTCAAGAGGAGATCTAGAACATTTCCAATTCCAAAAAAGAAGATCCCCATTGACAACCGTAAAGAAAAAGGCCCTGCTATAAAGATCTCTCAAGTCTATAAACCAGTAACCCATGTAGAGCCAAAGAAAAAAGCTTCCACTAACATGTTTGATGCTCTTTCCCATCAAAGAGTGGATGATATTGATGATGATTCTCGTGTCCCTCCTGTTATACATTCGAGTACTACTCACCCAGCTTCTGACGCAATGCCGAGGTCTTCTCATGGTGGTTGTTTCTCTTCTCCAATTGATCAGGGATGACGATTTTAGGTCTTTACTTAGTTAGTTTCTAGGTGTTTGTTTGATTTGTCTTTCCTTTGGGGCATGTCCCTTAGCTTGGCTAGTCTTTTTTTCTTTTTCTTGGGCGTTTGCCCTTTCTTTTGTATCTCTTCCTATACTTAATATATTTTGCCAAGGGGATTCCCTTTTTCCCAAATAAGAGGTAAACGATGGAAAAGAAACATTTGTCTAATATCCTTGATGGAATACATTCTATCAAAAAGAACCCAAGAACAAGTTCCGAAATGGGAGGGAACCTATGGAAAATTATGTGATTAAGAAGTATAAAGGATCAAAATAACATAATATATCAAGCAAAATAACAAAGAATAATAAAAAACCAAATTCAATTAAAAACTCTCACAAAGAGAGAATGCACAAAGCGATGTATTTTATATTTGATCCTAGTGTAACTTATATACTTGGATAAATACTATTCTAGAACGAGATCTCTACGTATCACGGATTTACATACAAAAGATATACTCCCTCTATCCCATATTTATTTTTCACTTTTGACTTTTGAAGTTTTTATTCTTTAACTTTGACCTTAAATATTTTTGTTTTTCATATATAATACTTCATGAAAAATATATGAATGGATTGTGTTTTAAATGTCATTTTACTGTTATAAGTTTCATCAAGTAATTTATAACACAAATAAAAATATTTAAGGTCAAAGTTAAAGAATAAATACTTCAAAAGTCAAAAGTGGACAATAAATATGGGACAGATGTAGTATAATCTACATACAAAGTTCTTATCACTAAGATAAAGGATCTGAAACTTGTTTCTTAAGTAAAAATCATGTTGTAGAGAAAGACCATGAACAACAACCGATAACGATGTTAAAATATATCAGCGTGACATAAGGTTTTTACACATCCAATTATAAGGTTTGACCTTACAATTTCCCCCAATTTGATGATGTCAAAACCTAATCTAGATGAAATTCATGAAGACAGACTTTATCAGCTTCAATCAAATTTTTGGCTTGATCCATTTGAAGTCATCACACAAGAGTTATTTTCTTCTTTTATTCAACTCGAAAGACAGAAGCCAGTGATAATTATCAACTTCTGGTTTGTCTTTGCACTCAAGCCATAAGTGAAATAAATGTTTAGTAGGAGCTTTGCAAAGATCAGCTGACCGTTGAAAACACATGTGGTCTTAATCATCAACATTTAACATTCCATGTTATGGATCTCATATTAAGAGATGTTGAATAGGGTCTAAACTTATTAGCAAAGAATAATTAATGTAGACGTTCCAAAAGGCAATAAAAGCTTTGCATGATTGGACTTGATCCTTTTGCCTAAGGAAATTAGAGTTGTCGATGTTAAAGCTACATCTAGAAGAAGAAATAAGTTGGGATCCTGGACTTTGTTAATCACCAGGATAATAGCAAGCTTCAGCTCCTATGCATGAATACCCTTGTGATTCTTAATAATACCCTGAATTTATAACCACTAAGTGTATATGTATTTGACAAGCTTGGTTATAAGAATTCTTTCAAGTTATTCTCCTTTAGAATGTCCTCTAGTCAGGTATATAGTAAGAATCTTCTCATCTTTAGGTTTAGTGCACCTAACCTTTACAATAGGGTCAGGAGAAACTCTCCTTAAGAAAACATCAGTATAAGTAGAACGATAAATCTTGTTGAGAATTTCTTCAACTCTTCTTCTTGTCAACTTCAGTATTAAAATGCTTAAGTTCCTTCCTTTGATCATCCACGCTTCCTTTAAAAGAATCTACTATTGGAACAACTTTTTCATCAAGTCTTTCAGTAGATCTATCACGAGCTTCTGCATTGTTCTTTGCTGTAAAAGATATTGCTTCTTCAATTTATAGACCACATTCAACAACAACATTAGAGAGACGAATGGTCTTTTGATGTTTTCCTTCAGTAGAACTAGAGGCAGTGGCAGAGGACTTCCTTTTTCTTGACAAAGGTTTATGATCATCACACGCAATGTTACTGTTGACATGTTGCTCCTCCTAAGGCAGAGACTCCCCCTCAGCTTGTGATCCAGTTAAGAAAATGGTAGATATTTGAATATGTATAGCATGAGCATGCACTGAATCAATCAAGATTTAAAAATCCTTCTCCATCGAGATCAGTAGGATAGTATGAAGCCTAATCAACATTATCTTCATCATCAATTTCATTAACAAATTGTTGGTTTAAATTCTCCCTCTCTTGACATCATCCACATGAGTACTAGCAGAATAAGTAGAGGTAGGACCAGTAGGAGCTGTAGGAGGCGGTTGTTATTCTTAAGTTCAAGGCTGAGTACGTGATGGTGGTTGCATGGGAAGATCATAAGGAAGTCATTAATTGGTGGATAATGGATGTGGCGGTTTATTTTGTGAAGGTGTATTGGTTGAACCAGATTGAAAATTTGCTCTCTTAATAGTGGAAACATGTGTCTCAAGACGTTCCATACATTGAGAAAATATGTTAGTGACCTCAATTGGGGTTCGAAGAGTTTGTAAAATCTGACTTTGAGAATCTTGTTGTGCATTACCATGCTCACCCTCAGGCTGAGCACATATTGACATATTATGTGCTGACTGAGAATTCCTCGTGTTGTGGAAGAGGAGAAAGAAACTGACGACATCCAAAGAAATGTGTTGGCTGAGCACAAATTGAGAAAGGAACTTACGGGAAACCAAGGGATGATGAGGAAGAATACTTGAAATTAATATGCTTATTTGCTCTAAGTGAAGACTTAACAATAGTGGATGAAGCAACAAGCTTAGGCGAGGAATTACAGCCTGCCTGATAGTAATACAAGGAGACTGAGATGAGGGCCCTGAAGAAATTTCAATATTAAACAAATCAGCTTCGACATCAACATCTTGCATATCTTCAACGTCATCATCATTATCTTCAGTTACAGTCTCTTCAGAATCAGTGTATTCTTTGTCAAATTCTTCTTCATCAAATTCAGATACAACTTCAGATTCATCCTCATCAGAAGGATACAAAGTTTTACGGATGCCTAGTTGAGTATAGGGGCGACGATCAGCGTTATAAGGATTCGACACCCACTTAGCCATCCACTAAGTGATTACTTAGCCATCCACTAAGTAATTTGAGGATCGGTGCGTTTGGGTGATGAATTAATCAACTTTGATGACATAAACACTTGGTTATTGAGTGATGATCATCTCCAGTATACCCTGAGTTTACATGTTCAAGCACCAGTAAGAACCAATGAGGATAGGGAACATAAGTGGATCTTTTCATTCCCGTGATTGATTTGACGAGCTAATCAGAAATCAGTTGAGCAAAATCCAGATTCTTGTTTTTCACCATTGCATACAAAATCCTCATCTAATTTAATATTTTAAGCATACGTGATAATAATAAAATTTTAAAAACAATACATCACATAAAATCAATAGAGAAATAAAATTTCACAAATGACTGATATTTTTATAAACAAAAAGTTGATAGAATTAGAGCTAAAAAAATAACATATAACCATTATAAATTAATATTTAATATTATAGATTAAAATGAAAACAAATAGTCAAAGTTTAATAACTTTTTAAACTAATAATAGATTGACTTTCCTTACCCCTTAAATTCTATATTTACCTATTTTTATTTTTCAATTTACATCTTTTGATTGTTAAATTACTATTTTATACCTTTACTTTTTTTTAAAAAAAACTTTTAACTATGTTTTTTTTACAATATTTAGGTTTTTTAAAATATTTTGCAACATAATATTTTTTTAACAAGCAAAATTTTGCAAATACAAATCTATTATACCTTTTATCTATCATGAATCTAATACAACATAAGATTTTTTAATACCATAATTTTACAAATTCAAATCTATTCTATCTCTATAAATATCAATCCATTTCTTTGTGTAATAGTTACTTTTGGATCTACATTGTGACACAAGTTCACGTATTAGGTACAATCCTTGTAATGATATTTTGACAAAAATGGTTCCTCTTACGCGTAGGTATTTTATATTTATACCCTTGGTATGAAATTTAATTGCAAAATTGGTCCCTTGGCTCATTAAATGAGAAACGCGAGTTTGAGTAAGTACGTTGGGCGTATTCTAGTGTGTGTCAGGCGTACGTGACGGATGTCCAAACCCTAATTTTTAGGGTTTGAGACCTATTTAAACATCATTAACTTCTCAAGACCCATTCCCTCATCAGCCTCCATCTCCCAAATCGTCTCTTGCAAACCCTAATCCATTGTGTGAGCATTTTAAGCTTGAAAGTGTGTTTTTGGTGATCTTGAAGGAAAAAGAAATAGGTGAAATCATCTTGGAAGCTCAAGACATCTTGGATCTAGAAGTATCTCGCTCTCAAGCGTCATTTGAAGGTATAAAGCTTGGATCTTGATGTGTTATTTACTTAGATCTTGCTAGTATAGAGTTTGTGTGCATTTTTGGTCCTATAGATTTGGTCTAATGGAGTATAAGCTACTCCGGGTCCTTGGAATGTAGTTTACTATAGTTTTGAGCTCATAAATTGATATAAATGAGAGCGCAGACACTCTTATTAAGCCATGCAAGAGATTTGGTGCTTTGGATGACTTTTGGACCAAAGGTTTGAGTTTATACCCTTTTGTATGCATGCAAATGGATAAAGTCGGAGACTTTTTCCATTAAGACGTCCATTTTTACCTGGATATGAAGTTTGGTGCTATGATTTAATGAAATAATGACTTAACAATGGAATGTGGATTCAGTGCTTGTACGTGGGGCATACCTAGAGGTACGTTGTGCGTACCAGGTCTCGAACCTGTGACTATAAAGGCACCCTCTACGATGGGCTTAGAGGGGAGTACGTAGGGCATACTTAGCCCATGTGGAATATTTGACTTTTTACTTGACTTTGACTGATAGTTTAACCTAGTTTGAGTTAGGGGTATTTTGGGTATATTGAGCAGTAGTTTGACACTAGGTCATTGTTTGCTGTATATGTGACCTGTAGTGTCAGCA